CTTGGAAGTGCAGATGAAGTGTTGCTTCACCTGGAAGGTATGTTTGGGCCCTTGGATTCTGGGGAAGGAGGAGGTAAATTCGCAGGTGTTGCACCTTCGCCGGTTACAGGGGAAGGTACCGTAGGGCTGTGGGGAGGTGTTGGGGGTGAAGGTACTGCATTTGCTGCTCACAATGTGGTCTCCTCTACATTGGGGAAACGAAGCATAGACTTAGCAACCGCTTTGCAGAACACCTATGTTCTGCTCGCAAAAGAAGACCCTGAACTACCTGTTGCCTGCCACTTCAATGCACCACCCTGTTCCCTGGCCAACATCTCTGTCTCCGGCTTGCTACAGTGTTCCAGTGAAGCCCAACGCAAGCTGGAGGAGCAACACCTCATTTTCCGCTTGGGGACCCTACAGCCCTCTGGACTCAGAGTTCAATAATTTTAGGGCCTAAACTCTCCCACGTCCCAGCCCCACACCCCACACACCAGGCCTTGTTACCACATAGCCTGCCACTACAAACCCCCTGTTGTTAGTCACTGACAGTCCCTATTAACAACTACTCACCCTCCCAGCCTGATCGTTAGCAACTCCTTTGTCTGTCCAACTGTCTTTCTCTCTCTTTGGGCTCTATCCTATCGTTTACTCCCAACCCCACTCACCTCCCTATTTTCTGCATGTAAACTGACGTTTTCCCAGCCACCATCAGTTCTGAGGAAGGGTCACCAGACCCAAAACGTTGACTGTTTTCTCCTCCACAGATGCTGCCAGACCTGCTGAGCTTTTCCAGCAACTTTGTTTTTGTTCCTGATTTACAGCATCCGCAGTTCTTTTGGTTTTTCTTTAGACGTTATGCTCGATCATTCTTGATTTCTATGACCAGAATCCTGTAGGGGTGTAGGGACTTTTTTGCTGTGGTTCGTGGATCAGGCGTGCCTCACACCCCCTCACTATCTTCTCAAAGTCTTTGTTGATTCCTGGCCAATAATAACTCATGCCAGATGTCTTGTTCGCTCCATGATTTTATGTGCCTGATGTAACTGACAACATGTCCCGGTGAAGAACTTTGGCACTTGTTTCTCTTTTAATATTACATCTCTTGAGATATCTAGTTCATCTCTGTACAACAAAAATGAGCACAGAGCATCTGATACTCGTGTCATGTCAAGACATCCTTATATGATATACTCACAGTCTCAGAACATTAGCTATATCTTCCTGAAATTGGTTGCATTTATGCTCTCCAAAATTCATCAAATAAACCTTAAGCACATCTTTCATCTTGATGTCTGTGTTGTCTACTTGTCTACTAGAACATTAGCATCTTTATTTAGGTTTGATAATCTGTTCAGCATGTCCGAGGTAACCATTTTGATCTCTGA